GCAAAACTTTTTCCTTCATTTGAAAGGACTTTGATTTATTCTGTTATTTTAAACGTGCTGTGATATAAACTACAGGCTTAGTCTGTGTATCTACTGCTAACATGACATGCTAACAACATTAGCTTCAGCACAATAAAGCTATAAAGAGCGTGTCTGCTTCTTCTCCACTTACACAATGGCTCTGGTGTTTGGTGGTTTCTGGCCGTAGTAGGTGAAAGGGCTGCACAAACCGCACAGCTGGCAGGTGAAGGTTTTTTGAGGGCTTTCACTTGTTTGCTCCATCTTTCTCCAGCTGCTCACAAGAAGTTTGGTTCGAGTTTAGCCCATCAGCGGCTGTGTGACGCGGCCATGTTGTTCCGTGAAGCTTTACCGCCACCCAGCTTCTTCTTCTTCTTCTTCCAATCTGAAGGGTTTTTTTCTTCTTCGTGGATTTAAAGTCGAAGTGACAGCGTTCGGAGCTCTATCGCCACCTACTGTTCACTTGAACTTTTGTTATTAAATCTGCTGTGTAGATAAATACATTTAAAAACAGAATTTTTTTTAAGTCATTTGTATACAATGTCTACATTTAAATGTTGTTATAGCTTTTAAAAAAAGTATTCTGAGGCAATTCACAGAGTAAACCAAGTGCTTTAGTGCCCAACCTAATGCAGTTCTATAAATAATTATAATAAAGACAAAATTAAAGAGATACAAATTAAAATATGTTCTGACAGTACTTTCTTTTTTTTTTTTTAGTTTTTTTTTTATATTTTGCTAAATTAAAAACTGAAAAATTAACATTTGATGTCTTCAAAGAACCACAAAATTAAAAATGACTCAATTGAAATCATTTAGCTTTTAGTATTTATTTGCCCTTCTGTTTTTCTTTTTCTGTTTTTTTTTCTGTATTTATTAAATTTTCACCTAAAAATATTCAAATATTAAATATTGTCTGTTTTTAGCTTTGTTCCGGCAAACTATGTGGTAACAGGAGAAATTATATCTGATCCGATTTAGAAATGTGATTTCTTTTAACACAGCACACGTATGTTGTGATCCTCGAAAACATTTTTCTCCTCATTAAAATGACTCAGAGCTGTTTGTTGGTGATCAGTTTTAACAATACACATCTGGCAAAATGTGACACCAACAAAGAGAGAGAATAAGACGACAAAACAAAGACAGACATCAACAAAAATACTAACCAATGATGACCAAAAAAAAACTGTATCAAGTGCATAAAACTTAACCAAAGAAAACAACAACAACAAAAAGACACACAGAAAAATTAAAATCAAACAAAGGGATTTGTTGTTGCTTTGCATTCTAGATGATAATATATTCATTTTCTCTCCATTTGTTTGACCCACCTGTAAACATTTTATCATATTGCATACACCTTACCTGTAATACTGTGTTCATATAAGCCTGGGGGTGATTTTTTCTTTTTTTTACTTGAATGAAAATTATCCCAAATGTAAAAATCAATAGATAAAAGAGGGGAGAACAATTGGAACTTAAACTGTTTGATTCACAGTCCAATTATCAATTATCTCATCATATCTTCATAGCTGTGCAAAAACTCTTCTGTTTAATTTGGCTACTTTCCCCAAAACCTCATATTTTTAGTGTGGTTTGAATCCTTATGACTGTGATCTGACCAATAGCTGGACATTATTTGCTTTCCCACCTGCATCACTGCCACCTTTTGACTTTTAAGATCCACTATTGTCCAATTCTGTTTCAGTTTTATAATTATCCTGGCTTATCCTTCATATTTCCTGCCTGAAATCAGAACACGCTCCACTGACTTGTTTCCTTGACACTGATCCAAATGGCCTGTTGGATGTTTCCGCTCAAGTCATTTGAACATTATTTCTAAAGCTCCATAGTAGGATGGAGACCTTGGAAACAGCACTTCCTCTGTGATGGAAAAGTGTAGTTTTCAATTCTCCATCTCCCTTTTAGTTATTTGATTCTTCCCTGTTGGCTCCACTCCTACTATATTTTGTAAATCAATGCCATTTTTAACTGTAACTGAATTTTCTGCAGCTGCTGAAGTCTTGGTCAGTGGTAATGACATTCAGAGAGAGACAGGCCTAATGTGAAACTGCAATCACTGGCATTAAACTAATGACAGCAAGTGCAAAATCTAAGCATCATTTTTGACTCAAATTTCAGAGCTGGGCGCCACATTAAAAACACAACCGAAGATGCATTTTATCATCTGAGGAACGTTGCCAGATAGTTTCAATTCAAGCGAGTACAGAGACACCATTACAGGCCTTTATCAGGATAAAATGTAAAATCGTTATTAATCCCAACAGCAGGGAAATCTGCAGTTTCACAGCAGGAACAGTGCAAAAAATATGAGGACACTGGCAGGGTTAAGCTGCACCACGTTCCATCAACTTTAAAGTGTCTGCACTGGCGACTTGTCTGTTTAAATTTAAAATCCCCATATTGGTTTAAAAACTGTTGTTCTAGACGTGTTTATCAGTTTTGGTGGTTTACTCTGTATTGTTTTTTATTGTTTTTCATTCCTTTGCGTAAAAAGTGCCCTACGCAGATATCCTATGTAGTTGATTTTGTTTGTATTTCACCTAAGTGTCGTCTTTCTGTTGCTCTGTTCTAATGTTGTTGCCTTTTGTTTTTGCTTATTGATTTTCCACTCTGATTTTGAAAGTTTAACATGAACATCTTTGCATTCTCTTCTACAATTTTCCCGGAATTTTGCCGCCACCTATTGGACTGGAGGAGTAAAAAAACACACTATGGAAAGAATATCGTAATAAAATATACATTTTTAAAACGACATTTGAAATGAATAGCCTCCTCTGAACTTAATTACCTTGAATATTTCCCAGTGAAGCTACTTCTCTTGCAATTTGAATGAATGTATGTGGATACAAATGCTTTGTGAGTAAAATCTATGAACCTATTGTATTTTCAGCAGATGGTTTAAGATGGGATAAAAGGAAATCTTTGGTGTAATTAGAAACATTAAAAAGACAAATGTCAGCTTCACTAAAAGGGTAAATAAATCACAACATTAAAAAAACGTAGGTAAATATATTAGTTTATTCTAGGCTACCACATAAAATAATTCATTTTTTTTATTCAAACAACAAAAGTATTTTTACTCTATACTAAACTGTACATGATAAAAAATATAAACTGTCTCATTTGGATTTCTAAGCACAGAAAGTACAGCGATCAGCTCCTCCTTTTGAGGCCTTTTTCTTTTTTTTGTTACCGTCTGCAGACACACAAACTCGTCCCTTTCACCGGGGTCACTACATTCTTGTTATATTTACAAAACACAACATAAACCAGTTCAACAGATTATTGTGCTTCTGGTGAAAATATTCAATACTGGCCGAACGGAAAAAAAAAGGTACAATCGCAGGATTTGTACAAAACATGCTGAAAAAAAAAGATTAAAAGTGAGTTGGCATGTTGTGTGGTATGGATTAGTATAAATACATGGAATTACAGTATTTTTAAAAAGGCGGTTCCTTACAGAAGCAGTAAGGATTTGTGATGTGGTGGATGCAGCTGTTTGATTTCCAATAAGGCACAAGGTCACAATAAAAAGACATGAAAACTGACATTAATCACATCCAAAGGCATTACGTGTAATTAGCATCTAGTCTCAGTGCATGAATGACTTCAACAGTCATGTCGTGGCATCTTTAATACAATAATATGATTTGCAGATTTGCACCACCTACTTAAATGCATTTGGGTGATTTTAAAGAACATCTGTGGTTTTCTTTCCACGGCGTTATCTCGTTTAAGCAGCCACATTTCCTCAAAACATTTGCCCTCCCCCCTACAAATAAGAGTTTTGCTCCAGTGGTAGAGTTGTCATTGTCACAGCAGAGTAAATCCAGTATATTAATGAGCTTAATGGTGTCAGTTAAATGTTGTATTGTTGTACACCCACTATAGGGTGGAACGTTTTTGTCCCTGTTTAGACCGACTTTTCAGTACATGTCTCTGTATATTTCTTGCAGCAGCGGGTGCAGCGACGTGTCCTCCGTCGTCTCGATTTCCTGCACCAACTGAGCATGCTCCGTGACCAGCTCCCGGAGGTCGGCCAGCTTCTGCAGCAGTCTGGGGAAGAGGAAGGTGTCGTCCGGGTGGTTGGCCAGCAGGTGGAGCCGGAGTGCCTGAACGATGCTTTCCTGCAGCTGCTCCACCAGAGGTGCATTCACCAGGCCTGGACGGTCTGAGACGGACAAAGACAGGATTATTTGCTATTATTGTCTCCAAAATTGACACTATTTTTCACTTTATTTATTCTCTATCATCTGTTATACGTCAGTTACCTCCACAGCAGATAATAGCAGCCACGAAAAGGGCCAGGTCACTGTCATCCAGCTCCAGGGAGTTGAAGCGTGTCGCAAACTGGAACTTGGGCTCCATCATGTCGCTGAACGGCCGCCGGAGGCTCTTGAGGAACTCGCGGGTGACGAAGCCGCCGCCACGGGCCACCAAGATGCCGTCTTTGTTCATGCAGGAGGCCAGGAGGGTGAAGAAAGCCTCGTAGACGCCGTACTTCAGGAGAGTCACCTAAAAGTAGGAAAGAAGGCCACGGCATGACTTGGACGTGCTCTTTAGTTTAAGTTAGCGAGACAAGTGGTATATGAGGGTACTTCAGACAGCTCTCGTCTGGAAACAAGGGGCGTAACTCTCATTTTGGGGCATAACTGTATACTATAAATGTTACTGTTCACAAAAACGCAAATGTTTGGAGTTCTGTTGCTTCAGGATAATGCACCCATCCACACAGCACAGGCAGCAGAAGCAGCCAAACGTGGTTTTGAACTGTTACCCCATGAACCTTACTCACCGACCTGCACCGTCTGACTTCTGTCTCAAACTAAAAACACATTTTTAAAAAGTTAATGAGGTCACGCATGCTGTTGAGGACAACCAGGAGACTCAGATGTGACCTTCTTTCTGAAGCTTGTCGAAGTTCCCTCATATGCAGCATTCTTAAACCCACCTGATCGTTCAAATCCAGGTTCTGGAAACCCGGCACAGCCTTGGCGAACTCCGTTAGCTCCGTGACCGTCTCCACCGAGGTGCTCTGGCAGCAGTGGAAGAGTCTGGCTTCGGCCTCCCTCTGCTGGAGCTCCCCACACACCTCAGCAGGAATCACATGTCCGGCCTGAAGGCCACTCTTGGACTCCGGGTAGTCATCGCCTACCATGTGGACCGCTAACGTCTTCTCCGCCAGCTGGAACGTCTCCATGTCGTGAATGATTAAAGGCTGCTGGGAAACACAGAGGAGATGTTTGTAGCTGGAACAGAGAATATTCTTAAACATGCATTCTGCAGCTTCATTTGTCTCTTTACCGGCTTGCTGGTTTTTCCTGTGAGTATGAGTCGTGCTTTTGCCTTGTTCATGCTGAAGTTCTTCATGTAGGCTTCGTGGATCTGCCTGACCAGAATCTTGTGGTCAGGCTTCATGGGGCTTTCCACTTCTCTCTTCACCATCTTGCTTTCCTCCTTGAGTTTCAGCTTTGCCGCCTGGGGCATCCGACCGAACCGGATGGCTGGTGCATAAAACAATCCCCATTAGAAACTGGTAGAGAAGGTTCCTTTAATGTCGTGATAAATCTACGGGTCCGGCAGCAAACATGCATGCTTCTAAACAAAAACAATCACATGCAAAAGATCTGGCGCATTCTGTTCTATTTTCATTCTTCTGAGGCATGTCTTGTGCAGGAGGAGGCCTTCATAACAAACCCAGTGACCCCTAAGAAGTCAGCGCAGATGACAGGCCAGATGTGGAGCTATATGGGCTTGTGTTTTCTCAGTGTCAGGCCGGGCTCCAACAGCGCGCTGCTATAAAAACCCAGTCAATGTAAGGCACGCTGGACTGGAGCTAAATCACATAAGGACACATCCTGCTGCTGTAAAGAACACATGCTACGGTGTTAGCTGAGGACTTTCTGGCCGGAGCTTTATGTACCTGCTTTCACATTGCTCAGAGGCCATTAAGTTTCAATGGACTCTTTGATAATGTCACGATTTCCATGATTGATTCGTTAGTTTAGTTCATTACATTCCGATCTAAGAGTCTCATGTTGCTAGTAGCTTATTTCCCTCCGTAGTCTTTAGGTATTTAACACAATTACAATAACAGAAATTGATAATATACACAGTTTAACATATTTTTTCTCCAAAAAATTAACTTATAGTAAATTCCTTACTTTGTTTGAGCTTTTAAAAGCTAGTTCATGGTAGCTAATGTGAGCTAGATCCTGCTGAGTCCACTGATGTTCCTGAGTTTCTGACTGACTTTCAGATTTTTCACTACTTCCTACTGCGACTGGACATTTTCCTGTTTACTAGTCAACTAAAGTTTAGCTTGTTGTCATTACCATTGTGGGACATTCCCACAGAGAGGCACTTGTGGAATCGGCAGTACTGGCACTTGTTGCGGTTCTTCTTTTGGATTCTGCAGTTGCGATCACACTTGTCGTACTCCAGCTTCAGCCTGATGGTCCTCCGAAAGAAACCCTGAGAGAGACAGAAACAAGATGTTGGCGGTGTGGTTAGCAACACTCTTTGTATGAAGTCATCTTAAAATATAAATGAAAAAGCCCACAGTGTACACATCCTGGCACATGAAAGTCAGTTAACCCTCCCTTCTTGGTGCTCTAAACTGAATTTTCAAACCCATCCATCCATCCATCAGCTACCCAGATAGGTCGCCAGTCCATCATTAGGATATCTCAAAAAGACCAACAATCATGCCTGTTCAAGTTATTCAATTTAGAATCAACCAACCATGCATTTCTTTGGGACAGTGGGAGGAAGCCACAGCCAAAAGAATCCATGCAGCTACAGGGCGAACATGCAAACTCAACAAAAAAAAAGGCTGCAGTCATTCTAAACCAGTATCAACAGCGACCCAACAGGTTCATCATCCCGAAATTCCAATTTCTGATGTTATACTCATGAACTGCAAATTCTTGATCCATAGAACAAAAGATAGATTGAATCCTAGTCCACATGTGATGGGGTTTCTCCTCTTAGTCCACATGAAATTGCAAAAGCACAATGGAAGTGCTGTCAAGAACATCGCCAACCAACAGACGGTGATAAGTTCCTAACCCTGAAGCCACGATGGCCGATCAGAACCAAAGAAAAAAGTAGCACTGGTTCAGAAAAGGCTTCCAACAATGACACAATGAAGAAAAGGAGAATCCTCTGTGTGGACTTGTTACGCCTCAACACAGTGGAAGAAAAACTGCACATTTATGTATAAACATGTAGACCCCCTGTTGGCACGATTGGCACCAAAACTATTTCGGTGTACAAAATCACCTCATGTCAAATTGTCAAAAACCGTTTCCCTTCACCCACGAAGGAAGGCTCCAGTCAGTCACCTGAAACTGCATTGTTGTGTGGATGAAAGCCATAAATGCACAATGTTTAAAATAATCCCTTGTACTTACTTTTAAGAGAGGACATCTCGTATCAATCCATGAAATGTGAACACAAGTGCTATTATCACTTAGTAAAGCTGTTAATCTGCCGCGTACGCTCCGTCAGACGTCCACATCCGCAGCATCTCAAACATCCATTCTGTTCATTCTAACCTCTGGTGTTATATTACATACTACAGTGAAACTATACGTTTGATGGTGCTTAAATGTTAAACCTTGCCCTTTCTGAGGAGGATCCCTCATTGGATAAGACAGCCAGCAGCCCTCCGACGCGCTGTGAGAAACAGGGCAGCGGGCCAACACAAGCTAACGGGCGTCACGTATGTGCCGAAACGTGTGATCCTCTGACGGACATCACATGACAACGTTTCTCAACCTCCGCTGTCAAGACGGAAATACGGACCAATTTTTGCGGCGGCCGCGCTGTCATGAAGCACATCATCTTACACAAGGTCTTGGCAGCGTTTGTGTTGAAGAGCAGTTGGAGCACGTTGTTATTAAGCCTCATTATGTGTCACATATCACTTGTCGTGTCATCTTTAAATGAAAACATCTGGGCTTGTGGGGGGAAAAATACTGGGTGAAATCTTCATGAAAACGGTTTTAAGGGAGAAACTCCGAAACGCGTAACTCGATGCCACATGACAGGCAGCAGAAATGCAATGTGCAACAGATGTGTGTGTTTACCGGCATGCGTGTCCTTGCATGTCTGTGTACTGTGGTATATTACATGTGAGGTGAGTAACTGATGACGAGGACGTTTCTTGCGCAATTCTTCCTTTAGGGCATCTTTCAAGCAAACAGAAAGAAATGTTTAAACTGAGACGCAATCAAACTATCATCCATTTATCGTCCATTAAGTCTGACTGTACTGGCCGCCCCTTTACATCTTTCATACTGAAACCGTCTCACCATAGAATCACAGCACGTTGCATTCATGTTCCCCCCGCTGAGTGCTGCTCTCTCTAACACGAGGTGTTGAAAGTGATCCAAAGACCGTGCCCAGCATGGAAACTGTCAATTGTGACCGCGGCGTATCACAAGGAGGCTTTTTCCATGATGCTGCAACGTCATCAGTCAGAGAATTTAGGAACAGACAGCCTTCAGAGGACACCTCTCACGTGTGAGGGATCATCACGTCCCCACTTTAGAATAGCAACGGTCTCCAGACACAACGATGGGTGATGACGAGCTTCATAAACCGGAGCTGGACAGATGTGCACGGTGCAGCTGGCAGGAGAAGTTTCTCAGAGAGAGAAAAAAGTGCTTAAACATTAACCTCCTCACCGACAGATTTGAGTAAAGCTGAATGCACAAGACTGTAAAAATCTCCACCCCTGGCAGCTTAAATAACTTCAAAAAATGCCGGCAGTACTTCTTGATCAAGGACACAGGTTTAAAAAGTCATGCAAAAATAGCAAACAAAGGCTCAGATTAACAACCCGTGGTCATCTTAGCGAGGTGTGAGACTAGAAAAACGCTGCAGCGATGATCCTCGGCGGGTTTAACACAAACACTCAGCGCTGATCGCCGAGGTCTGAGATACAGAATGTTCTCGGTGTCACATTTTTGTACTCCGTAAAATCTCAAGAATGCCTGAAATCCCAGAAAAACTCCGGCGCGGAAGTGTCCTGCCGAGCCAAACTAATTCAAGTCTTAAGGATTTACCTCTAATCTGATGAGAACCCTTAAAAAAGTAGACGCAAATCGAATTTCTCTTATCAGTAAGTGTGTGAGAGGGCAATATTTACGATAAGCACAGCGGCTCTCTGTGCCAGCAGCAGCGGCGGCGGCAACCACGAGTGTGTACAAGTGTGTATTTTTGCTAACGTCACCGAGTAGGGCTCCGGGCCAAGCAGGGGAGAGGCGACAAGTCATCCAAGGCCACCGTGTCCCTCACCTCATGTGAGAAGGGGGACGTGGCTGCATGTCTCGGAAAGTTTCCACTGGCCTCCGGGTCAGGTGCCTCTGCATGCCAGGGTTTGTGTGTGTTTAGGTGCATGTTTGTACATGTGTGATGTTTTTCACCTTTGGTAAAGCTGCACAGATACATGCAGGGACACCGTGAGAGATTATCAGGCTGAATGCTATTATGTCTGTGTTTAGGTTTAAATCTCTGTACATGTGTGCCTCACCTTGCAGCCCTCACATGCGTGCACCCCGTAGTGGAAGCCGGAAGCTCTGTCCGAGCAGACCCTGCACTCCAGGCTGAGGGGGCCGAAGCTCTCCTCGGGTCCTGGCGCCGCTCCACAAACCCCCGACGACGGACTGGAGGCGGGGGTCAAGGTGTCTGCAGGAGACAACACAGCACAAAGCAGAGACAAACAGTTTCATCGGGTTTCCCCTTCAACAAGCTTCTGTTTCCACTGAAGAATCCACTTCTCGGAAAAGTCTTTAACTCTCAGACTCTTGATGATTCATAGTACAGCGGCGGTGCCTTTGTAAAAGACAGACGGAAACTCAAGGCCTCAGTTAGCAAGTTAAGACATTAACGGTCCTGTATTGTGCCAATTTGCAGCAAATTAATGAAAGTCAATTTCAATTTTTCAGCTTGTAATACTGCAAAGATTCTTCATTCTACCACGACTGTATAACTTCTGGTTTTAGTCCTGTTCTAAACCAGCTGTTTCAGCTTCAGTTTCGATGATTGCTTCTTCCTCTTTGAGTGATAATTGTCCATGTAAATATCACCAAATTCACAACACGGCCTTCAGTTTTTACTCATGCGTTTGGTGAGTTTATCAGACAACAATGAGTCTATAAAACTGGTAGTTAAGCGGCTCAGAAGTGGCTCAGAAGTGGCTCAGAAGTGGCTCCGAAGTGCGTTTTAGTTTCTATTTCATACTTGTTCCATTGTCTGACAACAAAAAATAAAGATGTGAAATGCTTTATTGTGAATTCTGCTGTATTAAAATGCAGTTTACGTGAGCACAGAGAGCAGGAGCGAAGAAACAGAGCGGTGGACAGAGCTATGCTAGCTTTATCTAGTCTTTACACTGAGCTAAGCTAAGCTAAGCTAACTGACAGTTGGTTGTAGCATTAGCTTCATAGCTAACGTACCAATACAATTCATGGTAAGAAGGCTAATAGGATTGGTAAAATACTTTTATTTATATTTTAGCCAGCAGAATTATCAAACTTTCCCGTTTTACACAATTCTTTCTTGTACAGACCAGTTTAGCATAATGTGTTTCTAAGAATGCTTTTATACAAATTAAGCTATTGGCTAATTTTTAACTAAGCTTGTAAGAAGAACTTTTAACACACAACGAAACTTCCCAATAAAAACAACTTCTAAACAGTAGAAACCGGGTGAAGAAGAACAGATACCACATCAGTGGGCCTTTTCCACAGCAGACATTCTGACTTGTCACAGCACAGCGTGTTATTAACCGTGACTCACTTTTATTGCCCCAGTCGGTTACAACAGCGAAGCAGCACAGAGATCCTCTAACCAGCTCACCTGAATGGAATCCTTTTAATGACACGATCTACACCTGTGCTCTACCTGCCGTTAAATGTCCGCTGTGGAAAAAGGACTATGAACAATGCAAAAACAGTAACGTGGGAGGGATGAAGTAAGAGAGATTATTATTATTATTATTGTTTAAAATGTATGTAACACATTTAAACTAATCTGTTGGATAAATCTGGATAAATTCTACGTCCTACAGGATTTATCTTATCTTCTGTTATTAGACGTAAAAGGTTTTCCATGAGCATCTTTAGTAAACACATAGAAAAATTGAGCAAAAGGCCAAAAGGTCAGGAGTGACATCGTAGGAGCAGGTCAGGAATTATCCATCCATCCATTATCTCTACACCGCTTAATCCTCACTAGGGTCGCGGTGGGCTGGAGTCTATAGGTCAGGAATTAGTTAGCACTAAATTAGCAGTTTATTCTGTCTAATTTTAACTTTGATGGATAATTGTACTTGTTTCATTTCCTCCACTCACCCAGTGCGATGGAGCTGTTGGACTCTGAATCGATGCTCTGGTACTCTGGGAAGTCGAAGCCCAGCGTGTCGTCTCCGATGGACTGGGAGATGACACGAAGATCCTCCATCAGGTCTCCGCACAGAGGACTACCCAGGAGGGAGTCTCCCAGTGGGGATGGAGGGCAGTAGAGGTCCCCCGCCATGGCGGAGGTCAGGGGAGCAGAGCCTGGAGGGGAAAAACCCGTCACTCACCGATCTGTGATAAGAGAAAGAGTCGGGACGAGAGCGCATTTTAATGAGGCTTTTTAATGACATTGGCAGCGAGTCTGAAAACACACAAGTCTGGAATTTGGGTAAACAAAAATTTGTGCAGTGGCTTCTTTTAAAAACCCAAATCCACCAGAAAGACACGATATCGTTCATAAAAATCACCAAAATTACACCATTCATCAGAGCCAGAAGCTGTAAAAACAGACATAATTGTCGGATTATCAACTTTACGACGGTCCTCGAACACATTGCATGTGATGTGTGGTTCTGCTAGAAGAAATAACCAAATCGTGACATTTAATCACAATCATTACTCAACTTGTCTCCAAAACGAGTCTGTCTGTAACCACTTAATATTTTAAGTCGACTGAACTTCTTTTCTCTAGTTGAGTTAATTGAGCTCGGCCAGTTTTACACTTTCACAACTCATAGCTTGACTTTGAACTAAACAATCAATCTAAATGCAGCGAACTCACATTTTAAGTTGAAATAAGTTAAAATGATTAACACAATTTATAAGAGATTAATGTAGTTTAAGAAAACAGATGTGCAGTTGTCTTTAGTACAAGTTAAATTAGGTTGTGGTTGTTTCTAGACTAATGATTTATGTCACTGTAAAAAGATGCAGCGTCACTGGTTGTCTTTGAGCTGTAAAAAAAAAAAAAAGCTTCTTCAGCTGCACCTGCAAGTTCTTAATGTTAAATGAAAAAGAATCGTAAAAAATAAAATAAAATAAATAATCAAGCATGTCTGAAAACAGTTGATTTGTTTGACTAGTTGATCTGACTTCATATTTTAGGTTCATTGAACTTGTTTTCTCAGATTTACACTTTCACAACTCATAAAATGAACTTAATAATTAATCTTTGTGCAGTCAGCTGACGTTTTTTAGGACACGGGTGAACTTGTGTTTAGCAGCTAAAAGGAGTAAATGATTATATGAAATGAGCAGACTACCCAGCATGCATTGCTACAAGGAGAACAGACATGTTGGAAACTTTCTGTGTTTCTTAAATACGAGTTAAATTGAGTTGTGGTTGTTTCTAAATGATGAATAATTTATCATTAGTTGATTCAGCTTCATATCTTTACGTTTATTGAACTTGTTCTGTGAATTGAGCTCAAGTCAGTTTGACAATTTGACAACATATTAAGTAACTTTGCTCCAATAATTAATCTCAGTGCAGTTAACCCACATGTTGAAGGCAGCTGGTGAACTTATACTAATGATTAACTGTGTCAGATATCAGACAGTTGAGCATCCCTGACGAGTGAATTCCTTCAGACCTGCTCTTTGTGGACACACTGGGAACTAAGAGTGTAAAGATAAGTGAAGTGTTCCCTGTCAGTCCACAGCAGAATAATAAATGACTTTCACCTGCTAAACCCAACCTGTCCAGCCAAAGCACACACACCCTGTCTGATTTATTGACCAACACAGAGCACATACTGAACACTGTATGAGGCGTTAACATCACATTAAATGCTTTGAACACACTCTGTTTCTTTGACCGTCTACCTGCCCGTCCGTCCGTCCACTCTCACCAGTGGATCTGGAGGTATGTGTGGGTGGGAGTTTGCCGCAGTTCCCAGCTGCTCACAGCGGGGTAAAGAACATCTGTTTGAGCCATCGCGCTTGACATAACAGCAGCGTGTCCGATGCTCGTGTTCTGTAATCGACTTCCAGCAATTCTTAGCAACAGATTTCACTGGAGACTCACTTGTTTGGCATTAACAGCACCAGACAAAGGCAAGAAAACAGAAATCTGCCTTTAGCCACGTAAAGCCTCACATCTGTAAGGCCACACGTGAAAACAAACAAAAAAAAAACCAAACAGCTTAGGCAATTTTCACTGCTGGAACTTTTGCGGATGAACCTGCCAATTAGGTAAAGTGGCGTCTTTATCTGTCTGGCTGCACTCTGTCAACTCCTGAGGACGTTATTGATCAAAGCGTGCTTGATCTTGTTTGTGTAGTCTCCGTGTTGCAGGGGACAGGTCCTGACAGCTGGCCAGAGTTGTGTAATACGTGACTGTGTGGAAACAGATGTGTGCTACAGGAAGCAATGTGGGTTAACTGCATTGTAGCCGCAGCATATAGAGTACGTGCTCTGAGTTTGGCGACGGTCTATAGCAGCGACATCAACAGACGGCTGCTGACTGACTGGTCGGACGAGTTGCCCTCTGACTAAGGGATTTCTCCATCACTTGACAAGATTGGGCAACTTTAAAAACACCAGATAAACATCAGTTCATTAAGTTCACACACTTTGTAAATGAACCTTTTCCCCTCCTGTAGGTATGATCAGGGTTCATGTCCCAACAAAAATGAATATTTTTACACCGATGTTGTATGTAGGATGTGATCAGGCAGTTTTAGAGCTGAATTCTCCATCAATTTTGCATTTTACTGATCTGTTTGACTTTATACTGAGGAAAAAATGATCACAGGCATATCTTAAATAGTTTCTCTAGATGGGATTAAGATCTTTACCTCCTTATTATTTGTGATATTGTGACTTTTTTCTTTATTTTTTTATTGTTTTTGTTATTTTTATGGTGTCTTCTTGTTATTGCACAGCCTTGAGAGCATCCACTTTGCATTTGACTGCACAAACTACACGAGCAAATTCAAAACTCTTCAATCTTCTTGCAGTGTCTTGTTAAATTTTGCAAATCTGCAACAATTAATCCACCCATAAATTTACTTTGTGGCACAGAAAAATCAGCTTATACTCATTTGAGTTGCTCTGAAACGCCAAATGTGATGTTTTAAGGCTCTCAAATGTGAGAAATTAACCAAACATATTGAATATTTGAAGATTTGTGGCTGTTAGGAGCCTCTAGGTCAGCAGCACATTCTTGACCACGCTTCCCCTTTCATAGATGACTCCGGCCCGGCCCATGTTTCCCCCTCCATCACCTCAGAGGACATTGTGTTTTAAATCCCAGAGGAACTATAATCCCGCACTGCATGCTCTATCTTTAGGAGAAGAGGAAACAGGAGCCAGAGACGCTTCAGCTGGACTCCACAAAGCGTGTTCCCAGATGACAATAACAACAACCTTCAGATGCAACACAACTTATCAGGAGATTTACTTGTTATCCAACACTGGCCTGGTATGCGCTTGCTGCCCTCTGCTGAGTCAGGTTTGACCTTTGTGAGACCTTTGATCCCCTCACAGCTCAGTTAAACCACACGGATCTCACACCGACTTCCACATTGTGACTGCATTTGACTGTTTCTGGGTGCAGCTGCTGCACAAACAAGAAGCTGGAAGTTTGGCTGCCATGTGGTTTGTTACTGGTGAAGGGAGGAAGTCACTCAACAAACTAGAACTCTGTTTATTCTTCCTCCTGCTGGAAAAAGGAACGAAAAGTACCAGTAATAGAGTAAATAAAAGCTGTTTTCTGCACAAGCGAACAGTAAAGTTGGTTAAACCCTCAGCTAAAGCCTCTTATAATTACATAACCGCATACTTTAAGGGAAGTAAAGGCTGCTCATTACCTCGGGCTGCTATCCGGAGCATTCCCAGGTCATGCTGCCGGGACGGACGCTGTCTGATAGCGGAGGCAGGGAGGTGTTTCGGTTCCCGGGACGCTCCGACGCGGATCCCGATCGCTCTCTGTGCTCAGCCCTGGGAGCGTCGCCTCCCCTCCCCGCCGCCAGCCCTGCCGACGCTCGTCCTCCGCAGCGGCGACGTCACGACGCGGCGTGACGCACACACACCTCCTGACACACCTATGGTTTCAGCCAATCAGCGCGCGCGGACCGGAAAGCGCGCCTCCTTCCTTTATTTATTTTTTTAGTATTATTTATTTATTTGTTTTTTTATTTATTTATTTATTGGCAGTACACTTCCTGGTGGCTTGAAACACAAAAATATAATAGTGTAAAATAAAAATAAAATAATGTAAAAATATCACTTCCTGATATTGAAGCTCAACAGCATCTTTATTAGATTAGATAACAGGTTGATTAGATTCAACTTTATTGTTAATGCACAGAGAACAAAATTGTAAAATGCAGATTAGAAGGTGCAAAGCAAATCTGCTGTATCATACCCACCCTACACACACAATATATATATAAATATGTACAAACAACCACAATATACACTCACATATTTAGACAAAACAACAATAGCACTACAAGAGTCACCTCAAATTTAAAACCTTATTCTGTCCACTTTATATTTAAAAATGTAAATGCGTACACCCAGTTGTAAATATACCTATGCAGGTTCTTTGTTCTTTGCATTGTACCTTGTTTTTGTGTGTACAAGCTGGACCAACACATTTTACTACACAGTCTATCATGTAGAGCTGTGTCTGTAGCAAATAAATTAGATTTTTATTTTTTGATATATATTACTATATATTTGCTCACTTAAGCATTTGCTTCTTAGATTTTCATATTTCTTGCACATTTACATACACTGCTTACTCTAAAATCAGTAAAAATGCAGTGCAATGTAAAATGTCTATATTCACACACACTCTCTCTAAAATGTCTTAGAAACATGATTTTGTTCTACGTAACATTCTGTAAATACGATAACATACTGTACATTCAATTCAACTTCAATTCAAAGGGCTTTATTGTCATTTCAACCACATACAGCTGTACACACACACACACATAGTGAAATGAGAGTGTTTCCCAGATCCAGAGCTAAAGTGTTAGTGCAAAGAATGCAGTGAAAAAGATAAAATAAAATAAAATAAATGAAATAAGACAAAAAATATAACTAAATAAAAATAGAAATATGGAAACAGTGGTGCAATATTAAAAAAAACAGGTAGTGCAAACATGTAGAATTTGAACACGGCAAACAAAACAATACAACACAACATGGACAATAACAACACAATGGAGGTAGTGTGTGTGTGTGTATTGTTTGTGTGTTAGTCCAGTCCCTGAATGTTCAGCAGTCTTATGTCTTGAGAGATGAAGCTGTTGCAGTCGGCCATGCGGACATACTCACGGTACATATACTCTGTATAATTCTAATGCATCTGGCATACTGACATGCACTGTTAATACTGTTAATACAGCTCATAGTGAAGATATTTTAGCAAATTTATACATATATATATTTGTATTCATATCAGATATGTATGTATGCAAATACCCATACAAAGATAGATGAATATTAATAGGTGACAGTATGAACAGTGCAGTGTGTAGTCTGTACAAAGTGATTATTGTATTAAAATATATTACTGTCATTTAAAAGTAGGGCATCAATAACCCAAATGTTGAAAAAATAAAAAAATAAAATGCCAACTACCAGGCAAAGCATGCAAGATGTATGGATATTCAAGATGCATAAGCAACACACACACACACACACACACACACATACATATATAAATATATAATTTCTGCAGTGTGAGTCTATACAGTATGATACAGTACAAACAGAATGTATATACATACACAGAATGAACATGCATGTTGTTAATTTATAATATTATATATCTTTATTGTCATGCTTTTTTTTCTCCCCAATGAAATGCAGACAAACAGGCGGCCTGATGAAGCTGACCGTCATCAATGTGTGTTTTGCATTCAGTATATTCGAGGTTCGTTGGTTATATTATTTAACACCACTATAATCCAACGTCTCCACATCCACACTGAATCCCACTTTCGGCAATTTTAAGTAAAAATTAAAGGCCTTTAGGATGTCCTTTGCTTTTATTTCCTCCTTATGCTCTTCTTGTCCACTCATGTTTTCTGTTTTGTGTTGATTGATTGCCTGATGTTGCTGTTTTCTCTTTTGCTCTGTTATTGTCACCTCTCACCTCATTTCCCTGCACATGCACATCACAGACTATGATTCATGTGAACTATAGCATGTTATTAACTTGTCTGCAGGTATTTCTGGCTCTGGAGCTGCACAGGTTTCCAGTCCAACCAGTCTGTCCAGTGTTTATTTCGTCTTGTTGGTTGTCTGTTTGCCCTCACCCCAACCGGCCGAGGTAGACGGTCGTCCTCTCTGAGCCTGGTTCTACTGAGGCTTCCTCCGGTTTAAAAGAGCATTGTTCCTTTATACTGTCCCCAAGGTGCTGCTCAGAGATTAACAATTAATAAAACAGCAGGCTCTTAAACATATTCAATTAGGCATATTTGTATTTTATGTAATTTTGTAGGGTCTTAAACATGGTATTTACATTAATGTCATAAATCACACTGTAAGGGTTGGAAAACTAATATTTACACTTGTTGGGTAAATTTGCAGACTTACATCTCTAATGGAAAGCACATCAGCTCATCGTCTGTTGTTTTGCCTGTGCTATTACACATATATTTATTTGCATATTTTACCAGGAGGCCAGTTACACAATTATATTTTTCATACAAAATGTATAAACATTAAAAGACTCATAGCTTTTTTTTTTTTTCCAGTTTAACTGAATGGCAGCCAAGAGACATTACTGAATACATTCTACAAGCAAAGTCCAAGTGTGGATCCATTTATTTCCAGTGAGAACCAGAAATATTTCAGATATTTGTACATAGAAAAACCAATCAAAATTACACATTTTATCACATATTTAATATTAGATTCCAACCAAAATGAATGTTGATGCACATGTAGAAGATATGTGAATGTATTTTTGCGAGGTTGTCTAAAAGTAAAATGACAAAGAAATTAAACTTTAGGCTGAAATTTTCATTAACATTTGACTGCTTTAAGATCCACAGTGATACCCATAAGAGTTCATGTTAACAGCTGATGCTATCTCAGCCCTTTAGGCTTTACACTGACGTAAAATGATCACAAGTATGTTTTAGTTTCTTATGAGCTTTTACTATGGCTCATTTTCTGTGCTATACATCGTTTGTTTTATCACTTTGGTACGTTCTAAAATCTTTTACCTGCACGTTTTACGAAGACAAAGCACCTCAGAAATCTCAAACTTGCCATAAAATAATTTAGCACCAACACCTAGTAGTACCTTCTACTAGTAGAGAAGCCACCAGCTGGAAAAACTATATTCCTTTTGTTGATTTCTCTACATTTTTATGATTTTAAGCTGTGCAGAGTAGGTTATCTCTTGCTAAATTAACTTTCTAATTATTCCCACCATGTTTTCAGTCAACTTCTATATATAAGTCAGCAGTACAGGCCTTTAATGTGCCAAAGATCTTCACAAATTTCTGTCTAAAACCAAACCACCAGTAATTGTGAATTGAACGTAGGCTGCCAACGTCCAAACTAAAGCACCAACACAACACAACACGCACTATCTGGCGCCATCTACTGTGAATTGTTGCATGACAATGTTTCAACACGTCTCCTCCGTCCTGAGGCTCACCGGGGTATTTTGGCTGTCATCTTTTCCTGTTGACTTCCACAGCGAATGCAGACAACAAAACACTCAGTGTGTTCTCACACAAACAAGTGGGAGGGTGATAATTTATGATTTTTTTTCATTTATTTCTTTCAGCTTTTTTACCTCGGCACCTGCTCTCCTGCTCCATCTGTGAGGAAAACATGAGCTCATGTTTTCTGAATTAGACGGTTTTATTAGCTGTGAACCAGAAATCAGCTTTGGTGAAGTTTGGGATGTCGACTGAACAGCTTATGATGCCAGATATTTAAGATTAAATTGAATTTTCTAGCTTCGACTGTCTATAATATTACTTTTCTCCGATTGAGTATGATTATACGTGGAAAAATCAAAGTAATTCTTAAACTACAAAAGACAAATGCTGCCTTTAAAACATGTCTGCAGACAGAGAAAAGCACTGTGAGCTCAGAATAAGGCGACACTTCTTGGAAAATATTGTACCAACTCAGACTTTATTGTTGCAGATCAGTACAGCTCTTATCACCACAAAGATTAGATTCCAGTCATTGCTTGCTCTGCCATTATTTCATAATAAAACATGAAAAAAGTTCAGTTTCTAAAGCTTTCGTTATTTGAAAAGATGTTACGTCTACAGTGATTTAGCACCACTCACCTATTCGGTGAAACTCTGAAATCAAATGGCAGGTTCGGTAAACAAGACTTTCCGTGTTTCCTGAGCGGAAAAGGCGTCAGAGAAGGAAGCTCCTGTGACGTATTGCTGCCCTCCAGGGAAGGCAGTAGGTTGTATAGTTAGCTCCTGATGGGGTAAAATCACAACCCTGAAACCACACAACCTACTACCTCACCCTGTACGAACACCATGAGTCACCCCGGCGGGTCGGGGACCATCTGGACGTCGGAGCGTATTGGTGACGAACAAATGTTTTTTGTTGAGATGATACCAGAGTTAACATGTCAAGTTTCTGCACAAAAAGTATACATAGTTCTGTTGCACTCACAGTAACAGTCAGCAGTCAAAAACGAGATAAACAGTCTTAAAAAGCCTAAAAAATACACAGCAGTCGACACATTGAATTTCCAACGTACATCTTAAATCCTTACGACTGGTGTCTAACTTACCTACTACATCTATTTTCTAACTGGTTTAGCTTCAACAAAGGAAACTAAAAAGCAACATTAGCAGCTGATTACTTGATAAACAGAGTCGTGACTGTTTCAGGTTAAAATGAGTCCAACTTCAAACAAAAACACCTCCTTGTGTTTTCCATGAAGTCATACTTGTGACGATGAAGCCGCTGCCATCACAGTCGCTTCAGGAAAGACAGTAAGTTGTATAGTCATCTGACAGCTTGGGAATGACCCTAAAACTATACAACCTACTACCTCACCCCAAAGGACAGTTTATCTCTCGGAGGCGAAGCGCACGATCGGCGGTCGACCTGTGGGAACAAAAAACTACAAAAACTGGCCTTAAGGAAACCAGGAAAAGACGAGCGTCACGTCATTAACCCACACAGACTATTTCCTGAGGCCTGAAAGACGGAATATGTATCTGCTGAACAGAAGCGTGAGATGCAGTTAAAACGTCAGCAAAGTAAGCGGATCTTTAAAATGATGACTGAAGCTCAAGACTGAACTTTCATACAGTTACTACTGCGCTGTAGGTAGACACGAGCCTCGAGGGCTGTTTTTAAAATGAGCTTTTGGGGCCTTTTTCTGTCGTTTCTGTACAGTAGCGGTGGAGTCGGAGGGGAAACATGCAGCAAACGGTCGAACCAGGAACTCGACTGTGTGGTTTGCCCACCAACTGCTCCGCTATCGAGCCTCGGGGGCTTTTACTGTAATGATTGGAGCGCTAAATTAAAATCACGGTCACACTGTGGCCACATCAACTCAACAGGATGTGACATATCGATGAATCAAATTGCCGTTTTCATGCAAAACCCTCACTTCCATCATCATTTTATGGCCATTTTTAAACGTTATTAAATCACTGGATACTATATTTCCAAAATAATTTTCTAAATGAAAGTTTTGGTTAGTTGATCTCACTGGATTTAGGAACTGATTTTTATGACTTCCTTTCATGTGCAGTATTTCATTATCGTGCACAATATTAGTTTACGTCTTCCCAGTGTTGTTTTTTACTTTTCTATTGTGGTTTTATTACAGTGTGCTTATTTTTACTGCTGTTAAGGCAGCGTGGTTAACCTAAACTCCTTATACACTTTATATTTACTGCTATTGGGTTATTCTCATTCTATTTGAATAAGTCTTATCTTAAATTTTGAGTATTTTATGACTTTCTACATTTACAAGACATCTAATTTGATGTGAGTAAATGAGAGCGACCCGTGCTGCAGGATATCGCAATTTCTTCATGCCTTAATTAGGACAAATCAAAGAGTGTGTTGTCGAAATACTTCCTGGATGTCACTTGAGCTCGACAGGTCGCGTCTCCTCTGCAGCATCGCTCCATCAGTTCACCTCCTCTCAGGTTTCCGGCTCTTGATGCTGACAAATGAGAGGAGAGAGTGAGCTGCTGCTGCTGCTGCTGCTGGGCGTCCAAAGGTCAGACTTTCACTTCTTGTCTGACACACGAGCATCACATAACAGCAGAAGGGCTGAAGTGCAGGAACCTGCACGCCAAACACGACGGATACTGAAAGCCCTACCTCCTCCTGCTGCAGTGTTTGTGTGTAAACAGCTGCAGGTGCGTACAGGTGTGCGCATGCCTGCATAGCAACACATGGAGCGAGAGCCTGCCTGTTGTATTTATGAGGCTCTCTTTGGGGTTTCTGTGCTGTTACCTGGAGGCCTCTATGACAAACGCGAAGCTATACCTTATTTGTGTACGTCACAGGAAACATCGGCGCAAATGAGCATAAATTTGTACGTCTGAGTGTGTGTTTGGCTGAGGGGTCAAGTCGGCAGGTTGTGGTCGTTTCAGGGAGTTTCCTGAGCGAGAGGCTCTGCTGCGGTTTCCCCTCGAGCTGGGGAGCGACGGGGGAGACGCGAGGGAGTGAGGTGGGGTCGAACTTATAAAAGTGAGTCACTGCTTTAACTCCTCACACGCACGCACCAGTTTGCGGCTGTTTTATTGCAGGTCGGTTATCCCATAAATGCCACACAAACCTCTATATGAGCTACTTAACGTCCGAGCCTGTGAGGTGAACGGCGGGGCTGGCTGTGTGCGACTCCTTGGCTTACACCGTTAATGTGCGTATCGGGTTTACGCAGGTGAACGCCTTTCACTTCAAGGGTTAGTTAAATTACACAACACATATTGTCCCATTTAACGCTGGTGGCTTCCAGTCGTACAGTTAAGTGAAGGTTTGCAGATTTGTATCTCAAAACAACGTGAATTTCATTTTCGGTGCACACAACAGTGAGAAAATACATAAAACATGAAAGGAAACAATGTTGAATTTACTCAGGATGCAAAACCTGCCAACAGAGTAATGGTGACTACTTCTAGACCGACACGTTCCTCTTAAATATCTGCACCAGGAGGCCGAAGCCTGAACAAATGAACCTGAAACTACCTGCTAACTTCTTTTAGTAATTTAGGTGAACTAATCTTCTAAAAAAAGCCCAAACTTTTAATCACACACTTGCGGGATGTTCAGTTATTTCTACATATTCTATCCCGTGTGTGTGTCGTTTCCACTCCGGTAACTTTAAAAACTTTTTCTCAAATATGTTATTCGGCTGATTTAATACACGACAAACCTCTATTATCCTGGGTGAAAGCTGAAATCTCAAAGCTCAAACAAATTAACCTCAAACTACCAGAGTAGGTGAAATATTTTTGGTAGCTTTTTTTTTTAATTTGGGTGAACTAATTTTTTAAAGAATGTGCAAACTTTTAATCACACACTTACACAGTAGCAGGGTGTGAAATGAATGTGCAGCAACTTTAAAAACTTTTATAAAAACGTGCCCAAAGTGTATTATTATATAATTATGATCATAAAAACGCTTGTGTGCAGTTTGTAAATAAATTAGTGTGATAAAAAAATACAAATCTGTCCAACTGAGAAACTCTCTGTAGCCGTAAACGCTCAAACAACGTTCCAAAAAGAACATCGGTCCAACGTCTTTGGATGCACGGCGCCACAAACTGTAAAACCGTGTTAAACTGTCAAGACTGATCCTGACAATGATTTGAGATTAACCACTGCACTGTTTGAAGCGAGCTGACCTCGGCGTTGTGGAGGACTGGAGCTAAAAACTGAAAAAAATCAGCAGATATAAATTAAAAGCAAAGGCTTTCTTTTCTCTCTCCGAAGTTTAGTGTTGTTATTCCGACTTTTACGTCACGGCACACGCTCGGTCGCGTCACTGGAAAGACCGGGCAGATAAAAGGGAACAACATGAGAGAACAACTCATGACCCTGAATCAAACCCGTGACTGTATTTGCGCGGAAAGTCTGCTGATCGTCCGAAATTGTTCAAGACGTTCATGTGGCCCCGGAATGAAATTTAATTTAAGCCTGAGCGCGCTGTGAAGGTGTCCTGTCACTTCTGCGTGCAGTTGACCAAAACCACCAACAGGTGTCATGTCTCCACAACCCTGCAGGCCGACCGGGTGCAGAGCCGAAGGTTTCTCCGTCACAATGAGGCCTTTGTGCAGTTCCGGGGTGCCAGCCGGGGTGCCCTCGTGTACTGTTTCCCTTCTAATCTTCATTTGACCTTTAGGCTGACGGCTTTTCTTTCCCCCTTTTCCTGACTAATTTCCTTTGAGGAGATTACCTTTGAGCTGCAGCACAGACTTATTGATTCAGATGACACGACACACACAACACGTCAGAGCCGGTTTTGACAAGAAGCGTCACTCTCGCAATCACGGCCGCCGCCGCCGCCGCCGTTACGTGCTCGGACCAATTGTGTTCGTTAAGCTAACGACAAAATGTGGCGATTGTGTTGTGTGCCTTCAGGCGGCTGAAAGAGGAAGCCAAACGATGCATATTCAAAACGAGAGAAAGGGATATTTGCAGTTTGAGAAATTCGGCAGCGTTGCCGCGAGTTGAGCTGATACAAACTTGGATTCGACAACGAAACGGAAATTTAAAAGAGAAAATAATTAAAATGTTAAACCAACCTTGATGCGAATGTCTGATCAGGATGAAAAATCCCCAAATAATGAGTCTGCAAATGAAAGAGGAAAAACAGACATAAATATAGCTACACACAATGCTGCTCAGATATATCCACAAATGCACACACACTCGCCAAGGTGTCCATGTAGAGCTCAGGTCATAAACCTGCCAAGCAGCTACTTGAGTGTATCATTAAGGCTGATGTAACATATGTTAGAGTGATCGAGGGTCAGAATGCTGCAGCCGAATTTAGACTGGATAACTGTATTACCATTTACTGGCCAGAGTTGAAGAAGCTCTCAGAAAAGCCTTCACTCCAGAAAATGATTAGTGGGCATTATATTACTGTGTGTCAGTGGAATTACAAATTAAGCTGTGGCTTTTTGTTCAACATTTATTTTAATTTCCCGTAATTGGCAGTTTCTTTGTTGTGGGCCAATTTTAGTGTCTAAAAATAAAAATGCTGTAATTTTTTGTTTAAAGAAAAAAAAAAGTGCTTCCTAATTTAAAATTCAAAAGGAAGAAAATCAGCATTTAGAGAAAAAAATACACAAATTAAACCAGAAATAAAACCTCTAGTTTTTTTAATTTTACTAAAATACTTTTTCATGCTGACAATTTATTTTAAATCTGTATGTTTAGTTGTGCAATAAATAAATATAAAAATGCAGGAGTCCCCCTTTCTGTAACACACACACACACACACACACATACACACACACACACCATAGATAATACACACACATTACAGAACAAACTTCTATTATAAAGTAGAGAAATTTCAGAGAATAAAAATACACCATAAACTCAGGGAATTGCAAACGTTCCTTTTTTTCACAATTTAAAAAAAATCGAGTCATCCAACATGATTTATTTTTAACTGTGACAGAGACGTGAAGTGACACAAAAATAAATCCTAAAAAATATTCTTTTAGAATTTAAAAATTATATCTTTATAATTTAAACCATAGACAGAAATACACACACACACACACACACACACACACACACACACACACACACACTCTTCCTTTTCAAGGACAATGTGCTGCTAAAACCTTTTCGAAAACGAAATGCTGAATTCTCCCATGAAAATCCGCTTCATTTAAATTCTCCCTGCAAAACAACACTTTAGCATCAACACACATTCGCCTCTCACACTCACTCACTCACTCACTCACACACACACACATATAAAAATAAACACACACACAAAGAAACACACACACACACACACTGAAACAAAAAGAAGCTAAAATGCAACTGAAAGTAAAACAACCGACATAAATCTCAGATCTCATTTCCTGTCTGGAGTGCTGCTTAACAAATTAAGATATTTAATTGTTTTTTTTAAAAACGTATTTCTCCAAGTTGCATAAGCTCGAGCGACTCCATCTTTAAAACTGGCATCGTGGCTTCAGGGCCTCCAAACAAATAGCAATAATATTAATTTTAAGTATGTGTGTGTGTGCTTTGTAAAACGTGTCACGACACCGTTTTACTACATGTGTGAGCCGCTGTGTCGTAGTCAAATGTACCAGAGTGTGTGTGTGTGTGTGTGTGTTTGTGCGAGACTGTGTGGCCATCTGTAGTTCATGCATTGTGTGTGTGTGTGTGTGTGTGTGTGTGTGTGTGTGAATGCTCAGAGGAGGAGGCTGTGCCCTGCACTCCTTGGGAGAGGCGTGGGAACCCCATTCATCTTAGGAGCTAGGGTTCATTGTGGGGTACATAGCATCAAATGTGTCTGGGTGTTTGCCTGTATGTGTGTGTGTGTGTGTGTGTCTGTGTTGTGTGTCTGGTGCAAGATGTGGTGCGATTTTCGCATTGGCTTCACCTTTTGGTTTTTTTAACGATCTGCAGCGACGACGTGTTTTGTGTTAACCAGACCTGCAGATTTAGATATTGGAAATTAAATTGGCATAACTTCATTTTCTCGACGCAGGAACCCGTGCAGGGCTTCAGACTGGAGTTGAGCAACTGCTGCATTAAATCTCAGCTCGAAACTACATTTCGGTGCCAGTTTTGCGCGAAAATAGGAACTTCTTGTGAATTCCGACAGCTAAACGCGTTTGTTTTTCCTCATGCTCTCAAGATCCAATATTGTTTTCAGGCCTGCTGATATTTAGAGGGATTATACTTTTGTTATTTACGGCATAAATAAACATATGAAATTGTAAGTATGCAGAGGACACTGTGAGGTGAGTCAGGAGAAACATGCTGCAGAGTATTGTTATATTCGTCCAAAGTTAACAAAACGATCAACAGTTTTAGAGTTACAAAAATAAAGCGCGTTTCTCCTCGTTTCCACAATGCAGCCTCGCACACACGTATGTAGAGCACTGTATGCTAGCTACATGGATGATGTGGGAAAGAAATGTTGAAAAAAAAAAAAAAACGACAATCATATCTTATATTTGACTGTACTGCAGCTTGTACCGCTGCACCTTGTGAGCCAACTGGAGTCCAACAATGACGTGCTCCTTGTCCAAACCCTTTTTAACTCGTAATTCCCCCCCTAACTGAGGGTCTCAGAGGAGGGTTTGGATGCACCGAATGCGGGAAGCGACGTCAGGATTTCCTGCCAGGGTGACAGTGATGGAGGAGCTCGTGCCAGGCCCTGCAGAGCGAGAGTGGCGGATGAATAGGCCTGTCAAACGTAGGATGTAGGTGGGATGACTAGAGCTATCTGTGATGACTCACGCTGCCTCCACTCCTACCTTTTGGTCATGGTCGACTCTGATGTGCTGAGGTGTTCATGAACATGCAGCCATGTCGACAATCAGTGTGGATTTTCAATTAGTGAGCGTCTGAAAAACCGGTTTATGGGCGATAATTAAAAGATGCCATGCTGGATCGAACTGGCGAGGGGTGTGGCGTGTCGAGTTTTTTTTTTTTTTTTTTTAATTATATGAAAAAATCTGATATAATACAGACAAAACTGGAGCTGATACTCCTCCTCAGGGATGAAGCTGATGTGATGCTTATGATAGTGGCAATATAACGTTTTTTATTTCTTTAAAAAACAATATCGCTCGATTGCGGGTAACATGCACACCCCGAATATGTGCGTTTAGCGTACATGGTTTTCTATTTAATCGAGTCTGCAAGTTGTATAACCAAACTAACGAGGGATTTGTCTGTTGCTTAATACTTGGAGCGTTTTCTTGTTTACGTATGTTGAGAAAAATGTTAAAAAATGAAAACGAACACTTTAAAGTTGGCCCGCGTTATTAGAGTATAATAAACGGGGTGTCCAAAAGGCCTCATCGAGCTGTATTAAAGCTACGAAGGGGCCACGTGTCAGCGTCGACCCATTTTCTAATGTTTAACCTTCGATTACACACAATAAACCTCAGATAAGGTGAGGTCTTGATGGCTAAACTCAATACGAGAATGGCGGTTAATAGTTTTCTGATAGCTGACCAGCAGAGAAAAGGAGAGAGAGACGTACAGAGAGGCTGGGAGAGAGGGAGAGAGAGGGAGAGAGAGGGAGACAGAGCGTTGTGGTGGGGCTCGGCCTTGTGTAGCAGGCCTTGTCTGGCCCTCAGCCCAACATTACAGCACTAGTCCCTCTCTGCTCCCTCCAAAACTGTCTCTCTTTCACGCACAAAAAAGGCCGATCTGAGTGCAAAACTACAGGTAGCGGCGCACCGGAGAGGAGATTAGCTCGGTTTCGTCGAAATTTTCAAAGCCCATGCCACGTTTCCCCCCCCGGTTTGCCTATATTTAGTTAAGCCTCCTCACACTGGATAGTCATGTAGCCCTGGAGGAAGCAGCAACACCCAGACACAACGTTCAAACACACCAACATGGAGATCGGGTCAAACGATGCAGCTCCTGGCGTTCATTTCGTCTTTGTGTTTCGCCGTTTTTTTCGTCCTCCCCCAAAAAATAGAAACCCCTCTGCATGTGTGCACGGTTCACAAACGTACATGCACACACTTACCTCCACACCCACACACACACACACTCACTCTGTCTCTTGACTTACCCACTGAGACTTTGAAGCAAACTGGGCCCGCGGCACAGCGATCGCCTATCCGGGATAAAGCGCAGAAATCTCCGCCGTTCATTGTGCCGGGCCCCCGTCGGTCGCTGCACAGTATGTCCACATATCCTCTCTGTAGAGAAGGGCAGAGAAGGAGCTCGGATTCAGTCACACAGCTCTGCACTCCCTGCAAGGAGTAGGCGGGCACGCCAACGAGAGACCCATTCAGAGTCCCAGAAAGTACCAGCCTCCCTGTCTGCCTCAACGCCTTTTCTACGCGTCTGTCCGCCTGTCTGTCTGGGATTTACCCTGGCAATCTGGCCACCTTACCCTCAAACCCGTCTCTAAGCCTCGGGTAACCTCCCCAACCTCAGCTAACTGCTTTCTGATATTTACAAACCAGCTCCTCTCGCTCTCCCCTGTCTGCCACCTCCTAGTCTGAGACTGTCAGGGCCCGCCACAATGGGGAGGCCATGTGGGTTTCCCATGGAGTCGCGTGTTCCTCCCGTCTGGCAGTTAACAAGGCTTTGAATGAGGAATGTTAGCAAACAGAGCTGCTGAATGTCGGATGAATGCTAAGCCAGGCAGCCAGTCAGATCGCGGCACTGGCCCGGGCATATGAATAATGCAGAAGACTCGGCAGGGAGGAGAGGAGGCAAAGCTCCGCCTCCATCTGCCCCTTCCAAACTCCACCTGCCCCTCCTTCTTTTCCCCGCTCGAAACTCAAATGCCTTCACGGGAGCAAGAGAGCAGTGAGGACGAGGAGGAGGAAGAGGAGGAGGAAGAGGAGGAGGAGGGGGAAAAAAAATTCAAGATCTCTGCTGCTACTCACTCATGCAATTATAAAAAAAAAAAAAAAAAAAAAAAGTCCTGCAAGAAGGAGAATAGTTACACATGCACACACACATGTAATTACTACAAATCAGCTCTTGTAACATGCCACTTTTTTTTTTTCTTTTTTTTTTTTAACCCCGTGGTTGGGAACTATCTCACTCTTTTTTGGGGTTTTTTGTGTCTTTTGTTTGGAATTGGCACCTGTCCCAGAAAAAGCCCCGTCGCCGCTCCGCCCTCCTGCTCCCCTTTCACTGGAGACTGCCCACGAGAGAGAGACAGAGAGACAGAGAGAGAGAGAGAGGGAGAGAGAGAGGGAGAGGGAGGCAAGAGAAGGAGAGAGAGGGAGCGTGAGGGAGAGAGGGTGGGGCAGAAAACCCTAAAAGAGGGACAGGTTTAGAGATGGAAAAGGGGTTAAGGAAGGTGGAGGGCAAAAAAAAAGGAGATAAGAGCTCAGGAAAACACACCAGAAACCATCTGCAGAATTCGCAAGTGCACGGGAAATCTGGTCCGACGACGCGCCAAAAAACAACCTTCGTCCTCGGCTTCGTGAGGAGAGGAAGCATGGCGAGCAATCGAGTAACACGTGCTCAAAAAAAAAAACCCAACCTTTGCTTAAAAAGCAAAAAATAAAAACCCTAAAAAAGCAAAAAAAAAAAACCCCAAAACCCCAGATTCTACCCAGTCCGGTTGATCTCTACCGAGAACGAGCGAAATGCATGTGGGGCTCCGAAAAATGTCTTCGCGGCGGAGTCGAAAGCAGCAGCAGCAGCAGAAGCAAAAGCCACTTGTTGCATGATATTGAGGAACAGATCTTGCAGAGAGAAGTGAGAGCAGGCAGAGGGTTAAAATCCTGGGACTGGGAGTAGTAAAAAATCCCTCCCTCTTTTGGCACAGACTAGCTAAAGGGGAGGGCCTGCCTGTAGAAATAGCAGCAGAGCGTTTTTCCCCTCTTTTTTTTTTTTTTTTTTTCTCTCTCCTCAGAGCTGCAGCAGCGTCCTAGTCTACCCTCTCGCATGTGGCCGGGACCCAGGGAGAGAGGAGGAGGAGGAGGCGAGCGATGGATAGAAAAAGAAGCAGGAGCAGCGAGGGGAGGGGGCGAGAGAGGCAGGGAGGGAGGGGAGACGAGCTGTGACTGGAGGAGAAGGAGCTCAGCTGATGATGAAACGGGGACGTGTGGGAGTAACGTGCGCACTACGCGTTTCCATCACGGTGCGCCCGGTGCGACGTGAGCGTGCACGAGGCCGGGTGGGGAGGGGGGGTGGAATCGAGGTGGGAGTCGGGGAGGATGGGTGGTGGTGGTGGTGGTGGTGAGGCGGTGGGGGGGAGTCATTGCAAACAAATGATTAAAAGGATTCTGGGACAACTAGCAACACCTAAACTTTGAGATTCAAGGGGAAACCTCAACAATGCATCTTTTCTCTGCGCAGCTGCAGCCGCGCCGAGGTTTAATATCAGCCGGTTTCGTGTTTGACCTCGACGTCCTTTATCGCAAAAACTTCGAGGCGGCAATGGCGCTCGCCTCTTATAAAAAAGGCCCCAAAAAAGAAGGTCAGCGCCGACTTGTGATGAATATCGCTCTGATTGCTGCTTCTTTTGGCTTGTTAATGACTTGAAGAGCCACACGGACTGCTTGGCACGCAATCAAAGCCAGATAAGCACCTGGGTGCGACTGCCCCACCATGATTGCAACAGTGAACCGTGCTGTAAAACCCTGTAATATTTACCGCAGTGCGCCCGCCATGTGCCATTACTAGGCCACCCTCGCCTTTTGCTTGCGAACTGCAGCAGCAGCAGCAGCAGCATTGGTCCTGCGTGCGAATAAGGAGAGGAGAAATGTCGGGCAGTAACCGAACGATAAAATGGACTCTGCTGATGACTCTGCTCGTGTCCTGCACCCTCCTTCCCCCTCCGCCTCCCCCCTTCAGTGTCCAGCCTATTCTGTCTCCCACCCTTTCTTGTCCTTTCAGTAGCACTGTTATAGCCTACAGTAATAAACAGCCCCGCTCTGAACAGCTAGTGTTAATTTAAGCCTGCATGCGATGGATCTTTTTTAGGTTTTTTTTTGTGCCAGATACCACCCCTGCTGTCTTTCTCTCTCTCTCCCTCCCCCCCCTTTGCTCACCTACCAACCCCTGCATCAGCATGCTGAAGGTTATTCACACCCGTCCGGTTTCCACCCGACTTCCCTCCCCGAAAACTTTTCTCTGTGGCCAAACTGTTGTATTGGCCCCGTAGCTGTTTGCAACAGATTCCCCGTGGCAAAAAAAAAAAAAGAAAACAACTTCCTCTCTTTTGGACGCCATTCCCCTCCCCTTCAGTCTTCTCCTTTCCCAAAAGAAACCCAGAAACTCAGCACAGGCAAATTTTTTCCCCTCTTCTCTCCCCAAAGTAGCAGCCGTACAAAAGAGAAGGGAAAAAGGGAAAATTGTCCAACAAAACGACGGATCTCACATCATGGAGCACAGCTAGCTAGTCTCAATTTCAATCTGCCTTTATTGCTCACGCAGAGTCTGAAGAGGCAGATTGAAACAAATAAAAGGAGGTAAAAGCTGGGGGTTTTTTTGGTCACGTGTGGGGAGATTCAGACGGAGAAAAGAGCGAGTATGAGCGATTGAACAGCAAACTAATATGGCCACTTGGTTAGTTGCAGTCTCCCCTACCTCCTCACTCTCAGTCTTGGAGGCTGAAAGAAAAGGCGTAACGCTTCTGTGTGTGTTTCTACCTCACAGGACGGACTCGGAGGGAGTGAGAGAGGCAGAGAAAGACAGCGAATGAGTGCACTTGTTTTGCCTAAACTCTCCTCAGCTTTTTCACAGCCTCCAAATAAAACTCAGCTTCCTTGTGTTCTGCTGCACCATTCGCACATCGAAAAATAAAAAAACAAAAAACAAAAAAAAAAACAAACACAAATGCGCGAAAAACTTGTGTAAAAAAACGAGGAGCGAGACAGAACTCACAGGACTACCGGGAGGCTCAAACGATGATTTCAGTGCACTTTTATCAAAAGATATAAACTCGCTCGTGTCCCCTTGATGAGAAAAACGGGTCGAGCACCGAACAGTCATCGGATTGAACCCTGTGACGTCACATCTCGCCACATCTTTGAACCAATTGCAATCAGTGCACGCACAAAACGCCACTACAACTGCATGGTGAATATAAATCAAACAATAGTGTAAACACACGCATGTTTCATCTGCAATCTGAAGAGTCCCTTAGCTGTTCATCATCTATCTAAGACACTGTGTCTGCGAGTCAGTTGTTTACCATCTAACATGTGGCAGGAATTCAAAAAACTTGGCAGAGCCTGTTGCACCGTACGTCGTGGAGAGTTCATTTGAGGATACGGCTCTGGTTTTGGCTCAGCTGCCAACTTCTGACACTGTAGCCCTCTGCACGGCCTCGCCCCTGCAGGAGCGGCCTGCGTAATGCTGCCATTGATGAAACTCCAATATTAACAACCTCATTTGTGACACCTCCACCAGTCTACAACCGCTATTTTTCTCCTTTTTATCAGCCCCCTTCACCTTCAGGTTAAACCCAGCTGCCTCGCGTTACATTTACTATCAGTGTGCAAAAGCAAATTGCATTGTCGAGAGCTGATATGCACAGAATTCTAAAGCTGTGCGTATTTCAGACGATTCACAGAAGGTGAGGAAAGATGAGAAGCCACAAAGAAGGACTGGAGGCTTTACCATGCAATCTTTACAAACCAGCAAAAGCCAAAAAAGATGCAAATCGCGAATTAACTAGAAAAATAATTTCACACAACCTAGTAAATGTGTCAGCGACGCGCAACTCATGTGGCACGCTGCAGTAAAATGAGTTATGGCTCACTCATGAGCTGAAACAATGCAGTTGTTGATTCAGTGGTCTTATCAGATACAGAGTGCCTTCACATCCTTATGAATCATCCCACAAATACACTGGTGCAAACACGACCAATTAACACACACAGATTAAATTTATGGCATAAGCACACAGCTCGGTGCTGCTCTGCCCCGTGGCAAGCGGCAAACGCTGAGAAAGCAACCAAATAGCCATTTTTATCAGTCGCTGCCAAAAATTATACAGCACAACACAAACATAGGCAAATCACAACATGAACTGCAATTAGAAAGGAAATTATTATTTAAACAATTCAAACAGAATTGTGCATTAAACACAGAAAAAAAAGGAAAAACAAATAATGAACTTAAATAAAAATACCCTTTTGTTCTTTGTCAGACTTGTAGCTTCTACGCATTACGCAAGTCAAACTACTTGCAAAATGACACACCGCATTTAAAAAGACAATTTTTTGGGTCTTGTTTGCATGTTTAAAGGTATTCTGCTGAATGATGTGCCCTCACACAGATCAGCCGTGTTGTATTTAAAGCCCGTAGGTTGCAGCCGTCTATACATTCACACTCCGGCGAACACACACGCTTCCTCCTCTGTTCGGTGACCAGTGCGGCGGGCCGGCTCCCTCTACAAGGTGGTCTACTGAGGGGCCCCTCGGCAGCACGCGCCTCAACAACTTCTCTATTACAACTGTGACCCTTAAGGTCAGTCTCTGAAGGGTTCTGAACAAAGGCCACGACCCCGGGGTCAGAAGTGTAACGCCGGGGGCAGGTCGGGGCCCCACGGCAAAGGGAGCGTGCTGTTTGCTTTGAAAGGTAAGGATCACTAACACAGAGGCCTAATAAGGATTAAGGGGCCATCCCCTTTGGGATGTCACTCTGGGGCCTCATACATCAGTCTCTATTAACCTCCGTGACCCCCGGCGGCCATTATGGGGCTACGGGTCACAGTCGCTCGCGCTTGCAGAGCTGTAAAACCCAATGTCGCGTGCAGCCTCGAACTTAAGTGCCGCTGATTACATGGACAAATTGTTTTAAGAGATAAACACCTTGTCAAAGAGGACTCAGGCCTCCGTTT